TTTTCTCTTTTTATATCACCACCTCCTGCAGATGGCAGCACAGTCTGTGTAATGTAGCTGAACATACTCGCTCCCAACACAAGAGTTCCTGGCAGTCAAATACAAGATCACAATTTAGGGGCAAAGCCAGACCATGTATACCCACACATACACACAAAAAAATCCAACCCCAAACCCCCCAAAATCACATAATTTCAGTAAGAGCTCCACCATAATATAATGAGCTGGATTTGCCTTGTAACGCAGTCAAGATTAAACCAGATTTCCTGAGGTGTTACTAACATTTTCCCCTCACTGGCCAGAACTACAGCTGCAAGCTCAAAAGCAAAGCTGAGCAAAGCTTGTCAAGGGACCAGACATGGCCTTTGCCGGACCGCTGTGCCGGCTGCCAGACAGGCAGGGACAGGCAGAGCAGGGCTCTGCTCCCAGCAGAGCGGCTCCCACGGAGCCTGGGAGACCTGGTTTCCTCAGGCGGTTTTCTGCCACCTCTCTCTATATCCCAGGTCTCCCCCTGTGAAAGGTGAATACACTGGTCTCAGCAGTCATCACGGGCCCGATACGACAGCTCTCATGGAAGCACCGCTCCCACCCCAGTCTTGCATGATGCAGGCTGAGGATGGTGGTGTGAGCCAACGCACCCTGCACAAACGCCAATGGTGAGCAGGTTTGGACGTTCATCTAACCCCTCCCTGCCACTCACTTTACCACAGTGATTTAAAAAACACATGGAAAAAATGGATTGCTTCCAGGTGTATTTGCCACTGCTGCATTACCTAAGGAGCACCATAAGGCCTTTGATAGTCCAGAGCTCTGAGCTGTGGGTCTCACTGCCGCAAGGCCATACCCCTACGAGTCGTCCCTCAGGTTATCCTATATGTGAACAGAAGAGGGTGGCTGACTACAGCGTTAGCAAATTAAGGTAAATGAATGTGACTATGTGAACGGGAACTCCTGCGAAACCCATGCTCAAAGCTGGTCTCAAAGGAGCCCACAGGGAAGAGTGCATCTGCTGCCATAACCCATCCTTTCCTAACACGGCGATTCATGTATATCTCACGAATAAAATAAATAACCACTATTAAATACAACGGTAAGATTCTCTCTACAAGCATTTGGGAAGACTGGGCAGTGTGAAACAAACCTAGCCTAAGCACAGCAAACTTTGTGTCTGCAGCTGTATCACAACAGTATGTACAACAACTCTCTCTTCCAAGGACACACTGGAACAGACACAAAAGTGAAAAAAAAAGGATCCCAGAAATAAATTCAGTCACTCTAAGGATGCTGAACACTGCCATGCCACACACTAAAATATTCTACTGCGATCCAAGATGAGGTAGTATACCAAACACCCAAGTAAAGCCTATCAGGAACATTCAATTAGGAAAAACCCATGTGACAAACAGTATACCTAAGTGGGATTTTTGGTTGCTTTTTTTTTACGTCACAATTGCCATATTCATATTGCCATATTAAGACTTAATTGTATGATGCATACTGACTCGGAGGGCTCAATCTAGGGCCGCGTCTTATTTCAGACAAGGTTCATTTACCCTCCTCTATTCGCAATTGTTCCTTTTGCCTGCAGCAGCTTTTTATTTTAGTGCTATGAAAAACAGCCATCACGTCAATTGGTTTGGAGAACCATCAACAACCTGGAAGTTGTATATAAAATAAAGACAAGCTACATAAAAAACAAAGTTTCAAATTCTGAAAACTTGATTGCTGTAAAACACTTGGAATAAAAGAAGAGATTTCAAAGCAGAGATAGGCACTAAATAACTCCCAGTGAAGTGTCTCTGGAAATCACTGCCCAGCAAAAACATTTTGGCAGTAAAATCCCCCTTTTAAAAACCAGGTAAACAGAGGCCTCCTTGGAAATCCTGCCCCTATTTGACTATGCCCCAGCGGTCCTCGTGGTTTTTCAGGTGCCTGTGTTCACTAAGTCAGCTTCTAGTTCCTGGCTTTTACGGTTTCTCTTCATTTCTCTTAACAGGGTTGGGAGCTCACTGGATCAGTAAGGTTTCTCTGAGCAGGCTGACATAAAGTAGTGTTAGATAACATCAAGGACGGCATCCACGTGAAGGTACCCCAAGTTGATGGTGGAACAATTAACTGGTATTTAGAGCAGAAAGTAGGCAGGGAGCAACCTCAGGCAACACTCCTAGGCACCAGGATGGCAAAAGCAGAGTCAGCTGGACAAAACCAGGAACGCTGCAGTTTTAGTAACCGAGCATGTCCTCCTCTGCTTTCTGAACAAAAACCAGGAGCCTGATGTTAGTTGCAATCGTCACACAGCCTCTAACCACCTTTGAAACGATCTATTCCATAGTAATAAATAACAATTGGCTCCTATACAGCACTACCTTTTAAATGATTGAGCAAAACTGACAATGGAGTGGCAGAAGGGTGCACCTCATGGACTATTTCCGATAGATTTTGCCTTCCTGTCTTCTCCCAAAGGCCTTCCACCAAGACCTGACCAAATACTATGGCTGCTTCCCTGCATCAGAGCTGCCAGAGCGGGGAACTTGCACACACCTTCGGGGGTCTTCCATAAGACTGCCAGCTTCCAAATGTCCTGGGTTTCATCTCACTTGCAAAATGGGGTCACAAGCTCCATTTCACACGTTTTTGACAAAACAGAGAGCATTATGTCAGATGAAGACACTAGAACATTGGAACACTGGTCTGAAATGCATGCTCTTTCCATGTGGAGTTCAGTTCTTGCACAACTTCTACTAAGAGAAGCAGAGTACAAAAAATAGGATGGTTTACAAACGGTGAGAGCTGGGACCATGACTCCCATTCTTCCCCCTACTCGCACACACCCATCTCAAAAGTAATAAATCAGTGCTATTTTCAGTTTCCACTGAAACAAACTAATTCTGGCAGATAGTCAAAAGAGTATGGTTTCAAATGCAAATACAGAGGACTTTTTTTTTTCTTCTTCTTTTTACGTGGCAGTTAACTGGCAAGAGACAGAAGGAGAGCTCTGGCACTTTTTTAGTCCCTGAACTTTTAAACTAACTATTTGCACAACTGCCTCTTCTGCTTAGATGAATTAGCAAGCACATCTTCAGCCATACCTCTCTGTAATCACAAACATAAAAACAGATCAAAAGAATCATTTGAAAATAGGATAGCAGTCTTTGATATGGACAAGGAAGATCTTCAGACTTCTGTAAAGAAAGACAAAGAACACTGACAAGTAGTTATCTCTCTCTGCTGTTGGAAGACTTGTTTGCAAAGGAAATTGAACAAAACCTCCAAAATAACATCACAGGTAAGCCCCAGAGGATGTTTATTTTGCCCAAAGCAAAAAGATTATGACACGTGCCAGCAGCAGCGTATCAGGTGGATCTTGGTGTGACAGCACATCTGTGTAACTTTAGCCTGCTTGAAGCAAGGGGACAAAGAAACAGCAATACTCCAGGTGGAACCAGATACATTTAACCTGCAACAGAAATGTCACACAGTGCACGAGGGGGAATGTTGCAACGATCGAGATTGGTAAACAAACCTAGTCAAGCCTATCCAGAAATGATAAAAACAAGGAACTTGTAATCCCAACCGTTACAGGCAAACTGTGAATCAGCGTGTCGTGGCTCCCAACAAAGCAGGAACAAGCAAGCCACGTCCTCAGCTACGGAAGGACTTGTGAAAATCTTACCTGCGTGATCCAGGACAGGGCTGTTGGCACCGCAGGTTTGGTACAACGAAGCAAGATCCTTTGGAATGTAAGTTTTAAAGATATTTAAAATGTCCAAACGTTTCTCATGTCCGTCTGATCCTGGATCCTGTTTGCTGGAGTGTAAAGCTGGAGAAACTCCCACGGTGCCAGGCTGGGGCTGCAGCAACGGACTCGCTCGTGCTACCGCTGTGCAGTTTGCCAATGTCCTCAGCTCGTTGCCAGCCTTCACGTGAGACTCCCTCTGAGGCACGAATGGCTCTTCGTGTTTAGTGTACTGCTCGCTCTTACACAGAGGATGATACTGCAGTGGTGGGTTGAACTTGGCCTTCATGGAGTCGGAAGCACAGTGCTTACCCAGAGGGGCAAAACTAGAACTTCCTTGGGGAACCACATACTTCTCCACTTGCTTACTGTTGGTGGGCTGTGAGCTAGGCCTGGATATGACTGTTGGAGTAGGTGTTACGCTTCTGCTATAGGCTCCCGTTTGCATAAGTTTGGAATTTGCTTCGTATTTACTTTTCTGTTGTGCTGCTATGCTGTATTGCTCCTGGGAATGGTTTAACTTGGGCTGTCTGTACCCATCCAGACCTGATAAGCGCGGACCACAATGGCCGAAGGCGTGACCGTCCTTTGACTGATGCATACTCCCAGACTTTGCAGACATCCCGACAGAAAGAGAGCTGCTTTTGGACCCTGGCAGCGCACTTGGCACTTGAGTGCGCGTAAATCTGGCAATGGGCAAAGGCTGGCATTCCTTACCTCCGAGAACAGGAGGGGGGCCGGTACGCCCACTCCTTGCCAGAAAGACCAGGCTGTTTTTAATACTCTTGAATCCGTTCTGTTGAACCCAAGGGGGAACCATCAAGTTACAGCTGATTTTGTGCAAAATTCTTTTGTGCATCCACAGGACTTCGGGGTAGTAGGTCTTGTGACTGCAGAAGGGACATGGGTAGACAACTAAAGCAGCCTGCAAGGATGTATTCAGATTTTTATTGCATGAATTATCCCTTGTTGATTTTTCACTCAAATCGAGTGGAGCTAACACTTGACCTTCAGCACCTTTTTCTGTCAGAGGATGCTCCCTGTGCAAGTCTAGCAAATTTTGTCTGGCGCGACTAGCCTGCACTTCAGGTGACGTTTTTAAGTCCATGACCATGTTAGAAGATGTCTGGCCCACACCCGAAGCATAGCTAGCAATGCGACTGGAGCAAGGAAGCCCTTGGCTGTGGTGAAATGCTGGCATCTTTATGTCTGCAGAACATTTTAGATCTCGGTATTTCAAAAAGGGCTCCCTGATGATGCTCTCCAGTGCCGACACCAGGCCGGGAATCTCTGGTTTAGATTCCCTGACCTCATTTTCTCTGGCATTGCAGATTCCCAGCTTCGGGAGTTCATCCAACTGAGATGTTACCATCGGGGTTTCCTCTTTAGAAAAGTTGCAGTGGTATGGCTTTTCATCTGAATGGGACAAACAAGAAAAATCATTGTCATTTTATGCAGAAAGGAACCCAAAAGACAGAGCAGAATTCAAGATTAGAGTAAGATAGCAGGAGAAAAAGCAAACTTTGCTATTAGTATCGTAATGACATGCTACAGAGTAAATGTACTGTATAAGCAAGAAAATCTTGAAATAAGACACAACAGTTCAATTTACTTTTAAAGATGACTGTGAAGTCTGGATGAACTCTCTAATGCTGCATGCTCATGACATTGTGAAGAAAGAACAATTCAGTTATATACCCATATTAAAATTCTAGCACTGCGAGAAAAATAAGCAAATATGCAAAGATTTAATGCTTTAACAAAAGCAAAGATAATGGAGCCAGATAAGACTGACCTAGTTAAAGGTCTGTCAGTGCTTCCATTACAAGCCCCTATTTTCAAAGGGTTTATAACTCAGCAATAAAAATTGGCTCCACAAAGAAACCAAGCATATAAGCAGGTGCAGCATACAGAATAAACTGCTCACTTAAGAGGGACTTTTGCAGTGGCCAAGTATAAAAGATGAGTTAGGGAGGATATAAATTTTGAATTTTCCATCCGTTTGTTCAAAGCAGATACTTTTTTTTTTAAGCATATGTTTACATTTGAGTCAAACTCTAGGAAAATTTTATGACTGCTTGATCCGCTGAGAGATAAGGAATTCAACATTTTCAGCCATTTAGATTACAGAATTCAAACCAGACTTCTGACTCTTCTCATTTTCTTCTTTGCTTCTCAGCTCTCCAGAGTAAATTTATCTACCTAACACATGTCCTGGAAAGGGAACATACTGAGTAGTAATTAAAGCCACTTAGGGGGAAACAGAAGAGAAGGATTCATTTTGCTGGGAGCATGGCCACCTCTGCCCACTCTCCCGATGCTGATCTCTCAGAGGTGCTGATGAAGCCATTGCATCCCTCCAAATCAGTTCACAAATCAATTCCACAGAGATTTTCATCACAGCAGTAATACTTACTGCACTGAATCCACTTAACATGTAACTGAATCGAATCCCCTGACAAACTTTCAGTTTCAATTAATGTGCAGTTAGTAAGTCACTGCCAGGCGAGTGTAAGGAGACCATGCTCCATCTAAAATGTCACCAGTCCAAAAAGTCATCTCTGCATCTGTAGGAGGGGTGAGAATGGGAAAGGAGTGAACTGCTCTAGAGCTGCATATCGTCTTGCATCAATTCATAAAAGCCAGAGCTTTGGAAAACCAAGCGCGTTAGCGCAGCACAGTGCCATGGGCATGATTCTGCACGGCACAAGGGAAGAAGCATGTCTTTGCCCGGAGTTTCACCACAAATAAAGTCTTCTTTAGCCTCGCCTTCAATTCAAAGAAAAAAATTCTCGAGCTTTTGTTTAATTCAAGGTAATTAGGTTAAAAATAACCCACAGATTTGCAGCCTTGCAGGGCTGAGTGCTCACTCTGCTAAGATCATTTTCCTTTCAAACTCTCTAAGAGGATATATTCAGGGGGGGCAAAAAAACTCACAACCCAGAAACTTGTTTTTCCTGTGTTGCAGGGGGCAAGGCTTCAGGAAAGCACGTGCCCAGCACTACTAGCCAAATTTACAGTTTGAAACAAAGACACTGCATGCAGCGGTGAAATCTGACACTGCACATCTGTGTTATTTTCAAAGCACATCTGTCAAAGCCCAAAATATTTGTGCTCTTAAATAAGATTGTAAGGCTTCTCTTTACGATCACAAGGAGTGGCTCCTTTGATCATCGTTGTAAATAACAAAGCAAAGCAAAAACAAATCATTCGGTCGTAGCAGTACTCAGCAGAGACTGAACCAACCTACTGGCTACGCCGCGCAGAGCGGGCAGAGGAGGGAGGCGAGAGACCACATCCAGCCCCACTCCTGGGGCCTGCGAAGGGCACGCTGACAGACGCCCACCGACAGACGCCCGCGAGTCCCAGGTTGCTCTGCATACTTCAGACGCTCCTTGATGCTCTCCAACTTGGTCAAAATCTACATAGCATGCTGTTTCCGCAGACGACCAAGTCAAACAGACTGCGAGTTGGCACAAGTTAGGTCCGGGCTTGGTCTTTGTGTCCAGACAGTTTAGGTCTGTACTTGGGAAGGGAGGAGGAGGAAGCAGAGAAACAGACCCCAGTCTCATGTGCCTCAACAACGACAGGTATAAAGCCTGGGACTGCAAACCTACAGGTGGCTACAGTCCTTTCAGTCCTATTGCTTTAGTGCAGCCATCGAAGAAAAAGGGATTTTCCAGGTGGAAAATGTAGCACAGAGTAGGAAAACGATGAAGGCATTTCTGAGGTGTATCTAGGCACAGTCTGCAGTTGCCACAATGCTGAAAGCATACACTGTCAGTACAATATATGAAAATTTGTAAGGTTATTACAAAACATAGCTTCTAACATCTCTTCATAGTGTCTTGCTAGATTCAATTCCTCTGACGTCTCACACGAACAGTACTGAACATACTAGGAATAATTTTTAAAGCTTAGATCAGGAGCCTCAACAGCAGTATTTAACTGCTCAAGCCGCACTTCTGGCAACAAAACCCCAAAACGAAACCACACCCTTTACCCCCCTTCCCCAAGATCTGGACCTTCACCAGCAGGCCCCCACACACCTCTTCCCCAGCACAAAGCAGAGCCTCAGCTTTCGCCTAGCCCCTTCTCGCTCTCCACCAGGCACCCGGCACTCCGGGTACCAACCCCAGGCTGGCAGGCTGCCATGTGCCATCCTCCCAGCCACGGGTGGTGGTCCAGGAGGGGCTGCCAGCAGGTAGCAAAAGCCGGGGGGCAAAGAGGCGATGCAGGCAAGAGCCAGAGGAACCAGTATGTGACCCAATAATATAGGCAGAGCCTTTTTAGAAAAATAGATTAAATTTATTTCTGCCTGCTCCCAGCCGCTTGCCCCAGCTGAAAAGGGGTACTAACAATCCTTTTAAATCACTGGTATAAAATATGGCTCTAACCAGTGCAGTGCAGGCATTACTGTCACCAGAAACTTTCGATATTTTATTATGGCCAGGTCAAAGCAAAAAGCCATGAATGGGATGCCTTTTGCAAGATCTCCAGGGACTATAACTCACATTCCCCACTGAAAGAGTTCTTGGCTAAGCATGCTTTCACTTTTTGTCCTACAGTCCCTGCCATCTCCTCAATTCCTTTGTTTCTTACCCAAAACAGCCGTTTACCTGTTGTACTTAAGAGTGAGAACAGTCCTTTTACCACATCCCTGAGGTGTTACAGTTTTTCTGTGTCATGGACACCCAGCCAACAGCTGGAGCGGAGGAATTTTACAAGGTGTCCAGCTAGGAGGTGGCTGCTGATGCCATCTCATGCCTTCAGTTTGGCCATAGCTTCAATTATCAATGGCATCACAGGCCACGGGAAAGCAAAGCAGTACAGCATGAAACACGTAACTATATGGGAAGCCATGGTCTAGCAACACAGCAACATTCAGGGATTCGACCAGTTCTTCAGAAATATACCTAATTCCCATCCCTTAGTTACATATCCTACACAGGCAGATAAAAGTGACTTCCCTTCTCCCGCCCGCACATATCCCTCTTCTCTCTTTCTCCCCCTCACATGCATAAACGCCACTTTATTTCCTCCCCAGCCCTGTTTCTCCACACAACTGAATTTTAGAACAGGCCACACAGCTGTTTTAATTCATGAGGCTTCCTATAAAGTAAACCAGGCTACAAGCCTGAGGACAATGAAACCGTGATTTCTATTCAGAAGAGCAGAAACTGGCTAGAAATTGGCCCCTTTTCTGGCTAGCATTACAACATTAGGAGTTGAAGGGAAAGGAGCAGATGTGATGTGTTTGACTTTTAGTAAACATTTGATAGTGATTTGCACTTTGAGATGAATGCGGTGGCTCAATTTGAAAACTGGCTGCAAATAAATCATGATAAAAGCAAAGGATAATGTTGGAAGAAGGTGCAATATTGCAAAGACCTGTATTAGGTCCTATTTCACTTGGTATTTTCTTTAATGATCCAGAAGAGACTCTAGACAGCATGCTAACTTAAATCTCCAGGAAATATCGCATTTGGAGGAGCTGCAAAAATAACGGGGACAAGGAAATAATGTGCAGGGACTCAGAGAGAAGAGAAATGCAGTCTGAAAATAATCAGATGAGATTCATTCTGGAAAAAAAAGCAGGCTAAGACAAGTGAAGGGAAACGATCCAAAAAAAACCCATGCAGTGGGAGGGCGAAATCTGGGAAGCAGCAATGTTGAAAATAACAGATGTTACAATAGACGGCAAGCTAAACATGAGTGTACTAGGTGAGGTTCTTCAGCTTAGCTTCCACAAATAAAAGCATGCATTATGAAAATAAAAATAAAACTACCCCTCTGAAGAAGACACTTACATGATGGCCATGCTGGTCACATTATTTTTTTATCTATCTATCTGTCTACCTATCCATCCCTATACACGAAACCCAAAACGTACACACCACAGTCATGGGCAATATGTAAAAGCCCACAGTAAGTACAACACAGTGGGATGTGTCAGGGAAACAAAAAAGCAAAAAGCAGGTCTGCAACAGACAATCGAGGTTTTTTATCCTGTGAAAGGAAGGTCCAACAAAAATACTCAGAATATTTGTGCAGTTCTGCAAATACGGACAAGTCCGAATGAGTTCAGAGAACTGCAACAGAAAAGTAACCAACCAGAAAATAAAGATGAAGAGTTAAGCGTCCCTCACAGGGCTGACGGAAGATGGGAGGGTGATGCCTGTAACCTCCCCGGGAATGCCAAGCTCCAAAAGAGAGAATCATGTCATCCTGAGCACTGGAGTCTATCACAACAAGCACATATAATTGCATGCAGAAAAACTCATGAGAAACAGAAAAAAAAAAATCCTGATTATGTGTATTTGCAGCTTGCAGAATAAATGTCAAGGGAAGAGGTGGAACGCTGCTTGGACTGTAAAATTTACACGGACAAAACATGGATTATCAACGCATGATAA